AAAATTGCTGTCAAAACCTGTGGAGCTATGGAGTTGCTGCTTAATCCTGCACACTGCTGTTTCAAACCAACTGTTAGTTGATCACACCTTACTGTTTAGTATTTTCCAAAACAAATCATAAAACAATGTTAAACCAATGCACATTTTCTTAACACAGTCTGCTCAACAGTTTGCTTTGTTGTTGCTGTGTATGAACTTGTCTAAATCAAAAACAGCAAAGTCAAACAGTTTAAGCAAAACAGTGAAAAGCCAAAACAACAACAAAAACAGGCACCTGCTGCTGTGATCTCAAGTTCAAAATGCAAACCTGTGCAATTTTAGATTGTGAGTTCTGTGGACAAAAGATGCAAATAAATCGGCAAGTAAGCTCCAAAACTATCAACAATCAACTCTTTGTTGAAGATCAAAAACAGTCCCTCTAGCACACAAACTTTAGGCATAAATTCTGGTAAAACAGATTGTGTATAGAACCGGCTTCTGTTTCAGTCTTCAAATTCACAAGCATAGTCACAAAAACACAAACCTAATCCTGCTCAAGTCTCAGTTCAGGTTTACAACCAGTTGCTCATTACAAACACAACACAATTTAAAATGAAGCTGATAAAACTGTGATAAAATCACACTTAAGTCTGCTGCTTAGTTGCTGTCAAAACCCATCACAGCACAGCTTGTTGTTTCAAACCTTTGCTGCACACTGGTTGCTGTGTTGGACTGCTGTTAAGCACCTGTTGATGTCAAAATGTGTAGCTGCTAAAAAAAATCATGGTGTTAGCATATACATTCAAAAACAACTTCTCTTTCAAAGCATCTAAACCGTAGACAAAACAATACTAAACCTGGGCTGCTTTGCTGTTATTTCTATTATAATGCACAATGCTTTCTACTTGCCAAACACAGCAAGACCTGCTGTTAATTGTTACAGACCTGCTATGAATCTGCTGTTTTGAAACATAAGCTGTTGTCAAGACTGTCAAGATAACAAAACCTGTTATTACAAACACAACAAACCAGTTTTAAGCAAAGTGAAACAGCTGCTGTTATTGTAAACTCCTGCTGTTTAGCTGCTGATAAACTTGGTTCAAATCATATATCAATAAAACCAATCGTGAAGAACCAGTAAGAACGAACAGCTGCTGTAATATCAAACCAAAATCAATTTGAACCTGCTGTTTACTGCACACTGTTACTGCGTGTATGTTAACCGGATAACACAATGAATCTTAAACCTTTTCTAACTTCAATCCGAAGAAGAACAATATCTGCGACTAATTGTGAAATGAAACAGATTCAGCGAGTTATAGAACAATCAAATTGAACAAATCTGAATCARAAACCAAGATCCAATCGAGATGAATCTGTCACTCAATTTGATCGAATGAAACATCAAGCTATTAACCTATGAAAATTTCAAATCAAAACAATTTCAAATCAGATTCTTCTTAGATGCCAATCTGATTCGATTGTAACTCTTAATCAGCCTAACACATAAACTCTCCGATCAACCAGTGAGTGATTAAACCTAAATCGCTYGAGACAGAATTAGACTTGGAAAAATTCGACTAAAATTGAGCGGTTTAGATTGAACGGTTTAATAAACCGGATACTTATCCGCATAAGAAGAACAAATGACTTACCAACCACGAGTTAATCGAATCCGGTTGAATCCACTCAATGAATGTGCGAATAACTCTCCGCTCAATCAATGAAGCTCCAATGATTACTTATCCGATCAAGAGATGATCGATTTACATGAACACCGGACAAGCTATGASCGGTGTATATGAATACCGCTTGAGATTTGTGAGGATTAGATTTGAATCCTATGATGCACAATGAACAAACCGGCCGTTTATCCCTTGTCCGCTCAAAAATTGTTATGAACCATTTAAAATTGGGCSACCAAAATGGGCTTTTGAAATGGGCGGTTTAACAAAAAAAAAACAACCAAAAAAAATAAAAAAAAACAGATAAAAAACACTAAAAAACATAAAAACTAAAAGAAATTTAAGAAAAAATGGATCAAAACACTGGTTTACGAAAATTTTTTTTAAGAAAACGAAAAAATTTTAAAAACTTAAAAACCGATTAAATCTTGACTAAAATTGATCAAATCACAAAAATTTGTGAATAACAAAGATTCACAATTCAATTTCGAACATATTGATCATGTTTTTAACACCAAAACACAAGATTTTATTATAAAATCGGATCAAAATCAACAAAAATATCAAGAACACACAAGAACACGAAGAACTAAAAAAAATCAGAAATTAAAATCACTTATCTTTCAAATTCTTCATCCGATTTCTTGCATTCCAGCTTTGATACCAATTGTGTGTCCATAATCACTGATCAATCTTCATATTAAGCTCACATCAATGGCAGATTCATGAATTTAACAGTAAGAACACTATGAACACATATATGAATATTGAGAGGAAAAGTTAATCCTCTCAATTCAGTCAAACCTCTATTATGAATTATTATTACAATTAAGCTCTCTTTTACCCTCTAATTACAAAGATTAAACCAACCTATTTATATGGTCAAACTACAAAGACAAGTCAAAGTCAAACTTCTAAAGAAAAGTCAAACACGCTGACTTTTACAATTAGACTATTTATAAACTTTCAAGACGAATACAATTAATACTGATTTCTCAGTCCTAACAACTGGTTTGTGTTTGTGATAAACAGTAGGATCTGTTTACTGTTTAAGCAACAAGTATCATCGGTTTTGGACTGAATCAGAAGCAGCAGGTTGATTTGAAACAGATTTAAGTGATTATTATTGCTGCTTCACTCGATCATGTTTAAGTGTACAGGTTTAAGTGTACAGGTTTGTATACATGCTGTCCGATCATGTTGACAGGTTTGTTTTTACACAGCAGGTTTAAACTGTTTTTACAAGTTTGAACAGACTGTGTTAAACAAATGTGCCGTGTGTTTAGCCAGCAACACAATTTTTAAGTTGTTTAAACCTGTTTTAACAACAATAACAGGATTGGAACTACAACACAGGTTTTGAGTTTGTAAAGCAGTTGTTTGATGTTTTAAGCTGTTTAGTAATAGTAAGTGAGCTGTTCAGGTTTCAATTTTGAGTATTTCAAGTTTCAAAACAGTAACAGAACTTGCTAGCCTGTTGTATCTCGATCATTATAACCATTTTGACAGCAAGCAGCAACTGCTTCATTTTGGAACTTTGTGTGCTGTGTGTGTTGTGTTTAGACAGTAACAAAAACAGTAGCAGCAACAAGTTGTTTAAATCTTGACAGCTTCAAGCAGTAACAGTTTTTTAAACAGCTTCATTTTAAACAACAACAGATTTGAAACAACAGCATGTTGATCCAATGCAGAGCTCACAACAGTCTGTGCAGATTGTGAAGGTAGTGCAAATTGAAGAAGCAGCAACATTGCAGCACGTTTGGAATTTCAAGTTGAGATSACAGACTTGCAGGTTTACAACATAACAGCAGACTGCAGGTTTAAGCAGTAACAGTTTTAACAGCAACTGCTTCATTTTGTGTTGTGTTGGTGTAAAGAAGGAAGAAAACAGCAGTTAGAAGTTGGTGTGCAATCTGCAGTCAACAGCAAAGCTAAGAAAGAACGAAAACARCAACTCAGTTTTACAGTTCTTGACAGCATCTCAAGCATTAACAGACAGCAACTGTGTTTGACAATTCCAAAACAGCAGATTCACATAAATATCAGCTCCATAGCTTCATTTGTTGTGATTAGACTGTCTTGTCACAGGTTCTTTGTTTCTAGTTTGATCACAACAGGGTCTTACACTGTTTTGGTTTCTGTTTTTAGTTTGAGGTTAAGATTTGAAGCAGAGTGTGCAGGTGACAGATTTCATCCTGATTATCACACAAATCTTGAAAAGGAGATAGCATTGTGCAGCAAAACAGCATCAATAGCAACGCAGCTCTGTTCATCATTGTTCAAACTGTGTAGTGGATTTTTGATAGAATTTTGAGAACAGATAGCTCATTTTTTTAAAAGTATAATATCTGTATTGTAAAGCGTTGTTATTGGTTGGTTTGAACTGGACTCTGATTTTTGGGCTTGGTTCAGTTTGTTTTTGGACTTGAACATTATTCTTTTTGGGCTTCTATTAGTTGTGTTTTTAGTTTCTTAGTTCATTTGTGTT